ATTAGCTAATTACTAGATATAGATTAATTTGTTATTAGATAACTAATAAATGGTTGCTAATGATTAGCTAATTACTAGATATAGATTAATTTGTTATTAGATAACTAATAAATGGTTGCTAATGATTAGCTAATTACTAGATATAGATTAATTTGTTATTAGATAACTAATTAATGGTAACTAATGATTAGCTAATTACTAGATATAGATTAATTTGTTATTAGATAACTAATTAATGGTAACTAATGATTAGCTAATGATTAGTTAATAGTTTCTAATTTGTCAATAATAAGGTAATGGTTGACTAGTGATTACCTAATCATTAGTTAATGTTAGCTAATGATTAATTACAGTTTACCTAATAGTTAGTTATTGGTTAGATAATGATTATCTAGTGATTAACTAGTGGTTAGCTAATAGCAGCTAATTGTTTGCTAACTGTAGCTAGTGGTTAATAGTTAGTGGGCTAATAATTAGCTTATTGTTACCTAATGATTAGTTAGTGATTGTCTAATGATTTATTATTGGTAGCTAATAATTAGCTAATGGCTAGCCAATGATTACTTTATGATTATCTAATAGTTTTTAATGATTAACTCATGTTTAACAAATGGTTAGGTAACAATCACTTAATGTTTAGGTTATGATTAGATAATGATTACCTAATGTATGGTAATGTTAGCTAATGACTAGTTAATGTTTAGCTAATGTCTAGTTAATGATTAACTAATGTACATTAATGATTAGCTAATGTTTAGTTAATGAAAGGTAAATAATTACATAATGATGAGGAGTAAAAATAAAATATCTCTATCTTTCATGAAAAAGCTCTGTTGTCCTCCAACAGAACCACGCAGATTAAACATCAAAACATTTTAGTTATTTTTTAATAACGAGGTTACAGGTCAGAAACAACTAAATCATCATCCGGTTCTGATCTTGAGATGTAATAAAAAACTAAACAGACCTTTAGAGACAGAAAACAGAGCTGGTGAGTTAAAATTCAAACGAATATTAATTTATCTACATATTTACCGTTGCCTGGCCTGAACTCGTCAGTTTTACAGGTAATGAGCTAAAGTTTGGTGTGGTAGTAGCTGAGACTGACTGTTTTAAAGGTTCGACCAAAACAGAACTAATTTTTATTTTTACTAGTTTGCTCAAGTCATTCAGGGACTCGTTACAGTGAACAGGTTATAAAACCTGTCTGAACCGGTTTGTCGACCCCCCCGGAGGAATCCAGGTCGGGGTAAAGACCGGGCGAAGCAGTTTGACTGCCTGAAGTCTGTCTGAACGTGACGTTTTTATTTTTTATTTTTTTTTATCTCTGCGGCCAAACGCAGCTGAGATGATCACGCTGTTTGCACTCGCACGTGCAAATCCAGTAAGAACAAAAGAAGGAGGAACACTCACATGGCCATGCCAAACTGCTCCAGCCACTTCTTTTTCAGCTCTTTGGTTTTGAAGAAGAACTCAAAGCCGTTCTGGCCCTGGTTGTGAGTGAGGTAGAATCCGTAGGACCACTGCAACACATAAAAAAAACATTTTTAAAAAACGAGCAAGACGAGATGCAGGAAGACAGATGGGGATAAAAGGATACCAAAATAAAAGAGGGATGCCTCGGGGAGAGAAAAGGAGATGAAGAGGAGGAAGAGGAGTGCGAGGTGGCCGCCGGGCTTCAGACAGCAGACCCGAGCAGTGAGCGGGCTGTAATCAGCTCCAATTATCCACTTTAAAGGCTAAATATGACTGCGTTAGCCTGGTGTCAACACGGGCGGCCCGGCTGAACAGATGCTGGTGGGACGCACGTTTAATGGCTCCRGCTCTCGGCTCTGAAGGTTAAAATGAGCCAAGCTCGCCGTGCGTTTAGAAAAACTTTTATTTTTACTGAATGAATAAAGAAAAAGCAAAGCTCGGCTCGACGCAGGCGGTCCCGGTGGGCAGCAGAACCTGCGCCGAGCCACGATTTTATCTGTTTTTATCTGTCTGCCAATTTGTCCAAAGCAGAAAGGAGGCGTTTGTCTGCTTTCTGTGAGGCTCTTCATCTTTGGCTTTAAGGAGCCTGATCAAGTGTTTCCAGCTGGAGCTTCCCAAACTTCATATTCATGAACGTGCAGAACAGGAAACAGGCGTTAAGAAGGTTTTAATAGGGGTGTAAGAAA